TAACATGGTCATATTTTTCAATTCCTCTTTCAGCCAGTTATAATGCCTTATGGTATCGCCGCAATGTCCGCAGGAAAAGTTGTTGCTCCACTCCTTAGCAAAGCAGAGTTGGTGATTCAGGGCTGGGACCTTCTTTTCATGGGATCCGCTGCTCTAACACTGGTTGGTCTGCTGTTGTTTTCTTATCTATATCGCGCTCCTCAGCCTGAGGAAACACCACTTCTCCCTGAAAAAAGACATACAGAATCAGTAGAGGAACCTATACTTTCTTCAGTAGAACAAGGACTCATGAACCCACGAGGGAAAAGACTTGAAGAAGTGTCGGGATATTTTGATAGAAACAAGAAAGAAAAACACAATCAAGACGATTAAAGAAACAAATGCCGTCACGGCCAGTGGAAGTCAAGAAAAAAAGCGGAAGTGCTTTCCTTCTCCGCTCTGTCCTTTCCTTAAGATTGCGGATGGGATAAGTTGTTCCCAGGAGCGCCAGCGTTAATCCTCGTCAGCTCCAGTAACATGTTCCTGGGCAAGAATATTTTGTCTAAATTTCTTCTTAACGCTGTTTTAAGGTTACAAGTCATTCACTCAAGCAATTCAGACCTGGGAATTAAATTAAGACTGTACTTTGCATTAAACAGAAATGCCATTTGTACTGATTGCTTGCAGTCAACTAAATATGCTAAACCGAAAAAGTAAAATAAATTGTGTATGGATCGAGTATGGAAGAAAATGGGAAAAATTGGGTATAAATAGTCAAGTTTTGTGCGACAAAAGATAATAACGAGCAAAAATATTGGGTTTTGGTCATTATATTTTATAACAATTATACGAATAGCGATATATCAAATTGCTCAGAGTAGAGTAAGACAGTATTATATTTAAAACAATTGATAAAACCTTCTCACACATGAAAAACAGCTTAGCTCAGGCATGTAATGTAAGTAAAATTGAAAGAATGAATGAATGAATAAATAAATGAAGGAAGGAGAGAAGGAATGCATTAATGAATTAATTAATGAATCTATGACCTCTAATAAACGAATAATGTCAATAAGGATAAACAAGAATTTGAGTTATAATCTCGGGAATAGTGTGGTTTTTGCTTCCTCTTATTCTCTATAGCATAAACAGACCCTCTATTTTCTCTTCAAAGTCCGTCGAGCGCGGGTGATAAAATATAAACTGCAGGGGATTTATTGACCGACAGCGGAAGGGGGTAGTGATGGGGAAGAAGAAGAAAAATAACACAACGTCTGTGTACAGTCTAAGAAAGAACAAAGTAAAAAAACGTAAACCTTATAGGTGCGCCACTAACTGGGATTGAGTAAAAGGTCCCGGCCCTGGGCCTAGGTCTCAGATTAAAGAACATGAAAAGGAGTGGTGGAAACAAACGAGAAATAGACTGCAAAACAGTCAGGTTTTTTTTCCTCAAAAAAATTGGTTTATAGGAGAGTAATAGCAGCGTAAGAGTCCTACGCACGCGAGCGCGCGAGCCGCACACGCCCGTAGGGCGTGTGAGAGAAATCATTTTTTTTTAGCGTCTCTTCCCAGCCTCGTTCTCCCTTTTCAGCTTTTGTTTAACTATTCGTGCGAACAGTGTACTTAAACATGCAAAAATATGGACTATGTTGCAGTCTAACGAGAAAACACTCGTCTATTTTTTATTTATCCCCGGGCTTTTATCCTACGATCCTAGAGCCTGCTTTCCTTTTGGTCAGCACCTCAGGTGACACCTCCCCAATCCCCAATCTCCTCAGCTTCCGGCTCAGCTTTCAACTCAAAGATGGCGGCACACGCTCGCTGTCCATAACATTCATTTCAGTCATATAGAATTGGCTCTATCATAAAAGGACAATTTCAATGCAAGATGTTTCTTTTGATCCAGTGCGCAGCGATTACAGGTAAACCACACTATAATAGTTTTAGAATATAAGTATCATTAAAAGACCTTAAAATCAGCTAATTGGTATGGATCAACTCTCACCTTGGCAGCTTTTTCAGATGGGACTGATGGCCAGGGTTAGCAATAACTGGGGGGAATTTTTCAGTTGATGAGCTGTGCGGAATATACCATCATACGTACCGAAATTATTCAGCCAATATGCCCACAATTCCTTGGAAAATGTTTACAATACTGGCAACTTATATGAGGCGAGCCAGCACGGTTACTAAGCAAGGCCGGCTTGCCTTGTGCCTTAAATTTTGTTTCCTTATAAAATTGTTGTTGTGTTTTTATGAAAAGTCAGGTAGGCTGGCCCACTTGTCAAGATCTCGGTCGCTCAAAAGCCCTGGGCCTGCCCAACTTGGAAACAAACAACTTGACAAACTGCTAAAAAGATT